TAATAAGTAGATTATATAACTTAAAATACTTAGTCTAGCTTACTATAGTAAGTAGCGCCTTTATTCTACTCTATAAAGAATCTTTAATATATAGTATACTAAAATAAGCTTTATTAATAGTGTAAAGAAAGTAAATAATATAGAATCTTATATAGTAGCTAAGGTAGTACTTCTAGTCTCTATTAAGCTAGTTAAGGCTAGTAAAGTACTTTCTAAATTCTAAGCTAAAATAAGCGTAAATTAATTATAAATTAATTTAACTTACTAGCTATCTACTTAGTATCTATATTAATAGTAATACTATAGAAACTATGTGCGTAGAGATACTGCTATTATACTAGCTAACTTAAATACTTCTTAATAGTCTAGAAAAAAGTAGTAAATACTTTTTAGTATATCTTAGAAAACTTAGTATTAGTAGTAAGGCGCCTAAATATAATAACTACGTAGATTAGCTATAGATTAATTTAGAAGTAATTTACATACTCTTTTTATAGCTCTTTAGTATAGTAGTAAAAAGAATTTCTCTCTAACTATTATAGTAGCGCTTAAAAGATATATTTACCTAAAAGGTCTCTTATTTTATAAGTAGTTTAGCTTACTTATTCTATACTTAGATAATAATATAGCTTTTACTAGCTAGTAAGATTTAGTAGATATATACCTGCGTAGATTAATTTAAAAATATTTAGAAAATAATTTAAATAGCGCTTATAGTAGTAGAGTTAGAATAATTTACTCTTCTCTTAAAAAGAACTCTCTCTAGGCTAGCGTCTAGAGAAAATATAATTAATCTTTAGATAGTAGCTATTCTTATAAAGTAGTCTTTATTTACCTAAGTAGTATAAAGTTTCTTAATTAATAAAACTTTATACTACCTTAAGTAAAAGGCAAACTAGTTAAACTATAAAAAGGTAGCTAAAATAGTTTAGAAATAATTTAGAATTAATATCTATAAAATAGCTTATATCTTATAGTATTTAGTATTAATATTAATTAGAATATATAAACTATATTCTTAACTAATTCTATATCTAGCTACTAAAGTAGAGAAAGTATATACTAGTATATACTAGTTAAAACTACTATAAAGTATAGAACCTGCTTAAAATATAAAGAGATAATAATATTAATTACTATATTATAGTTTTATAGAATAAGTTTACCTTAACTCTAGATATAGTTAGTACCTAAAATAGTTTAGAATTAATCTAGAAATATTCTTTAAGAACTTACTATAGTCTTTTAGGTATAAAATCTAAAGCTTAACTATATTATAGTTTTTATAAAAGCTCTTTACTCTACTATCTAAAAGAGCTTATAAGTAAGTAATATTAATTTTTAGTAGTACTCTCTAGATATAGTACTCTATATTACCTAGAGCGTAATTACTATAAGTAATAAACTAAGAGGTAGGCTCTATTACTTACTAGAATTAGTTAAAAATTATTTCTAAAATAGTTTAACTATATATACTATTAATTCTATCTAAAATAACTTTAGACTATAAGAACTCTCTCTATTAGTATAAATACTATTTCTAAACTAACGCTAAAGCCTATTAAAGTAGCTTCTAGCCTTTCTTCTCTCTTTATTCTACTTAATTTAGCTTATAGATATCTTTATCTACCTAAGTATTTTATATAAGCTTTTATCTATCTATAAGTAAGTAAAATTTTATAATTAATTTTAAATATATTTATATATCTTAATACTAGAGTACTTAAAAATCTATCTTAAGGTAGTTAAATTTAAGAAGAAGCTAAAAGTCTTCTTCTTCTTTACTTTACTAGCTCTATAGTATTAAAACTACTTATACTAGATTAGTTTTAAATTAATCTAAAAATAGTTTATATAAGCTACTTATACTTTTAGTATCTTATAATACTTTTTTAACTAAAGAATATTACTTATTTACTTTTAAAACTTAAATAATATAGGTATAGCCTTTAGAGTTTATACTAGAGTATTAGAGTAGATATATAGTATACTTAATAACTCTAGCTTCTAAGAAAGGCGCGCTACTATTTTTAGAAGTAAGTTAAACTATACTTTAGTTTAAATAAGTCTAAAATTATTCTAGAATTAATTTAACTATATACTTTAACTTAGTCTTTAATACTACTATTATTACTTTTACTAAGGCTAGATAAATATAAATTAAATTTCTTATAGATATTTAAGTTTAATATATTAAGATTAAGAAATTTAGGCTTAGTATTAAATATAAGTAAAAAAGGCTCTATATTATAATATAAGTATAATCTAGTTTAAATTAATTTAGAATAAATCTAAGAATTATTTAAATTAAAATTTTATTACTAAGTGCGCTAATTCTCTTAGGTAGTATAACGCTAGTATACTATGTTTTAAAAATTACTTATTTGCGTTAGCGTATGCTATGTTTTAGCGCGCTCTTAGTTAGATGGACTGTATGCACCTACGCCAGCCAACGCGATCTTCACAGTATCTACCATATCGCGCGAATAACACTAGGCTACGATGCACGTTGCTACTGAAAGCACATCTGGAGATGCATCGAAATGGAGAATACCATGGGGAGGTTGGTCTCGCCGTCTGAGTGGCTGGGTGTCGGCACAACGGCTACCCCGCGACATCGGGAGGGTTGACGCGCCCCACGTGGAACCCACGCGTTGAGATGCACTACATCTGTTGGCCATCGCGACTGGCTCGACCCACATACGGCTATGACGTGAACCACTATGTACCGCATCTCGCAATGCTAAAAACAACGAAACTTCACGACACACGCCTCCATTCATCACGTAGATATCTACAATGGCGCAAAAGAAAGACCTGTATGTTGGAACCGACAAGCACCGCTGGTGGAAAGAAGCGGTGGTATACCAGGTATGAACGACCCACCATTATGTCGATGCAGACATTGACACCGATACCAGATCTACCCTGCTTCGTTTCTAGACAGTAATGGTGATGGCTGGGGTGACGTCCCTGGCATCACCCAGAAGCTTGATTACCTGAAAGACCTCGGTGTTGATGTGATATGGCTATCGCCAATCTACAAGAGCCCACAAGGTGGGTCCTGAATGTTCAAAATGTATGCCATGCACATACTGACCTTTTGTAGCGGACATGGGGTACGACATTGCAGACTACGAGGACATCGATCCCAGCTATGGCACATTAGCCGATGTTGACAACCTCATCAAAGAAGTCAAAAAGCGTGACATGAAGCTCGTCATGGACCTTGTCGTCAACCATACATCGGAAGAGCATGCATGGTTTCTGGACTCGCGCTCATCGAAGGAATCATCAAAACGCGACTGGTATATCTGGAAGCCTGCGAAGTACGATGCCGACGGAAATCGCCTGCCTCCAAACAACTGGGCGCAGATCCTAGGAGAGGCCAACTCTGCGTGGACCTGGGACGAGAAGACTCAGGAGTACTACCTCTCGCTCTTTACGCCCGAACAGCCGGATCTCAACTGGGAAAACCCCGATGTGCGCGCAGCCGTACATGATATTCTGCGCTTTTGGCTCGACAGGGGTGTCTCTGGATTCCGCATGGATGTCATCAACATGATATCGAAGGTACAGACGTTCCCCGACGCGGCCATTTCGGTCAAAGACAACAAGTACCAGCCCGGTGACAAGTACTACGCCAACGGCCCAAGACTACACGAGTGGTTGAAGGAACTTCGGCGTGACGTGCTCTCGAAATACGATACGCTCACTGTCGGAGAAATGCCATTCGTCCGCGATGATGACGAAGTCATCAAAGTCGTTGGTGCCGAAAACGAAGAGCTGAACATGATCTTCGTCTTCGACTTGGTTGATATCGACAACGTACCGGGCGATTTCAAGTATACCCTACAGCCATGGGATGCGCGGGACCTGAAGAAGATCGTAAACCGGCTGCAGCGCCTGATGCTCGAGCGCGACGGCTGGAACTCGCTCTACGTGGAAAACCATGACCAGCCCCGAAGTGTAAGCAGGTTTACCGATGACAGCGACCAGTGGCGCGAGTATGGCGCAAAATTGTTGTGCTTGATGCAAACTACCCTCGCTGGAACGTTGTATGTCTACCAAGGCGAGGAGATTGGCATGCGCAACGTGCCTAAAGAATGGAAACCCGAGGAGTACAAGGACATTGAAAGCATAAACTTCTTCAAGAAGTACCGCGACCTCTACCCCGGCGATGCTGAAAAGCAGGCCTTAGCAGCCAAGATCATGGTAAGTCCAGGGTGCACGATAGGAAATGAGACATAAGCTGACTACTTATTCTTATCTACACAGCAACGCAAAGCTCGCGACAGCGCCAGAACACCCATGCAATGGGACTCATCCGCCCAAGCCGGTTTCACCAGCGGAAAGCCCTGGATGCGCGTCAACGACGACTATCCTAGCGTCAACGCCGCAGCTCAACTCGCAAACCCCACACCTTCGCCCGGTATGCTCTCCGTGCGCGCATTCTGGAAGCGCGGTCTCGAGTGTCGCAAGGAGAACAAGGACGTCTTCGTGTATGGCGATTTCGAGATGCTTGATATGGAGGATCAGAAGGTCGTTGCGTATCGGCGGTGGAGTGAGAAGAATGCGTTTATTACTGTGCTGAACTTCAGTGGAGAGCAGATGGTGTGGGAGAAGATGGGTGATCTGAAAGTGAAGAAGTGGGTTGCTGGCAACTATGACGAGAGGCAGTTGGATGAGAAGGCGAAGAGTGGGAAGCTGGAGTTGAGGCCTTGGGAGGCCGTGCTGGGTATGTTGGAGTGAGGGCTGACTCAGTGGCAAGGATGGAGCTGTGTTGTTTTCAAAGCTGCCGCCTGTTTGAGAATATGAGAATCACTGATAGAAAGAGTTGCTTCGTCTGATTCAAGCAAACATAGGGATCAAAGGAGCTTGCAAAAGAGTAAAAGTTTCAAGTAAAATGATGAATTAAAAGTCATATCTCGAATCCTAACGTTCGTCCAATCCAGAGTCTAATGTACAAGAAGCATGCGTGATGCTTCAGCTACGGATGCTTAGTAGTGGGAGCCAGAGCCAGAGCCAGAGGCGCCGCCGGAAGCACCACCTCCAACTGAGCCAGAGCCACCAGCACCGGCACCGGCACCACCGCCAACAGATCCGGAAGCACCGCCACCAACAGAGCCGCCAACACCAGCACCAGCGTTACCACCAGCACCGGCACCGACACCAGCACCGCCGTGAACACCACCTCCTACAGAGCCGCCAACACCGGCACCAGCACCACCGTGAGCACCGCCGCCGACGCCAGCACCAACACCGGCACCACCGTGAGCACCGCCACCGACACCAGCACCAACACCGCCGTTGGCACCACCGCCGACAGAGCCGTTTGCTCCACCACCGACTGAGCCACCGACGCCGGCACCAGCTCCTCCTCCAACGCCAGCACCAGCACCGCCGTGGGCACCTCCGCCAACGGAGCCACCGACACCAGCACCAGCTCCTCCTCCTACACCGGCACCAGCACCTCCGTGAGCGCCGCCGTTGGCACCTCCGTGAGCACCACCGCCGATTCCGCCCATGAGGCCGCCGAGGCCACCGAGTCCGCCCTTGCCAGCGCCGCCAAGTCCGCCCATGAGGCCACCGAAGCCGCCGAGTCCGCCCTTGCCACCAGCAGCACCTCCAGCACCAGCAGCGCCGCCAATGCCGGGAATGGCAAGGCCACCACCGATGCCAGGGAGCTTGCCACCAGCAGAGCCACCGAGTCCAGGAAGCTTGCCGCCGCCGGGCATGAAGCCACCGATCATGCCACCGAGGCCGCCCTTGCCTCCAGAAGAGCCACCGAGTCCAGGAAGACCGGCACCAATGCCGCCACCGTAGCTGGGCTTTCCACCGCTGCCGCTGCTGGGAGTCTCATCGGAAGCACCAGAGTCGTAGCTGGGGCCTGAGCTGGAGCCAGATCCGTAACTGGGAGAAGTTCCAGTGGTGATGGGAGCAGCTGGGGTGGTGCCAGAGCCGGAGCCGTAGTTGGTAGGGAGAGCAGTAGCGATGCTAGCGATAGCAAGAACCTGAGCGATTTGGAACTTCATGTTTGCTGTTGTAGATTGATTGATATGTTTGACGAAAAGTCGAGTATTGGACGATTGGCGATATGAGATCGAGTAAAAATGTGATAGAAGTGAAGTGCTCTGCACAAACGATAGTAAAGACTAATAAAGTCGAGTATAGAGTAGTAACGAAAGTGTTGTTGGTTGCTGAAAGCGAAAGTGTGAAGTAGATGAGATCAAAGCTGATGCCTTTTTACTTTTGGCGCAGGGAACATGAGGTCTTATACTCGAGGGTTCTGAGTCGCATGGTAGACCTTTCGTAGGTAGTAGACAGCCGTAGTCAGTGACCAGAGTGGCCCCTGAGCATGATGGTGGCGAGCCTCACAGTAGCTTCGTTTCGAAACATAGTGACTCTATTGAAAGAGTGATGAAGGGTTGTCTAGATTGTCTGTTTCACGCTATCTGCTGCGGGATCGACGGCAGGTAGACGGGAGATGCCTGAGCTGCGCAGGGTAGAGTGAGGGTAAAGCAGGTTAGAGTTGCGGGAGATGCCCCGATGTGCGCAGGGAGGGAAGGTTAGCCTGGCTTCTCCGCACCGTGCGAATGTGCAGCCTTGCGGCCTTGAAACTAAAGTGGGTTGAGCTCGGGTCGTTCGAGGGGAAAATAGTAGCATTAGCGCATCCTTTATTCGTGATGTCGTCGAGTCGCACACCGATGTGGGTGGTAGCGCAAGCAGGAGTTCGTGAGGTCGGCTATCTTGGCTGCAGTCAGGTGGTGGGATCCGCCGTTCCAGGAGCGCCGCTAGGCTTGTTTCAGCCACCACCAGCACCATCGCGACTGACATCCGTCATCCTCCGCCTCTCCCAACAGAGATTCTCATCAGCAGCTGCGATAACGAAGAGACGTCGCATCGAAAATAGCTACACAATGCTTACCTCTGTCCAGGTACACCGCGGCAGCCGGCTAAATCGATCCGGCCTGTGCGCCATAGAGTTTGAAGTGGTACCTGAGCTTGCCGACCGACGACTTTGGCCTAGGACTGCCCGACTACTCAAGCTTTAATTGCGCATGAGCCTCTTCCTTACTAACTACCCGGCAACATTCGCATCGTCGTTTCTGGCACATCCCTTTTGGGGTTCGGAGACCCTGTCGTCCGTTGCAAACAAACAAATAAGTTTATGCTACGGTTCTGGATCCCTGGAGATCTGCCATCATACCCAGATACGGTGATGCTTGGATGTTTCGCCAATCGCATTCCAGCTGCTAGGATTCGATTTCGTCCTTGGAAAGACTGGTGCTGATGACGAGATTCGTGACAACGTGACGAGATGGACTGGCCGGTCTATCGAACGCGGAACTTACCTTCGCACGAAGCCGCGGACCTGCGTCGTGGGTGTCCCCTATTCTCGTTTCGAGACCATTCCCAGCGGCGTCTCCACAGCGAAGAAGCCTATTCCATGCGTCCAGACACTCGAAGTGGAGTCATAGTCACAGTGGCTCTTCGCTGTCGTGACTCGGCCTGGCAACGCCAACGCCAGCTTGCCTGACAGGCTGGAGCCGCACTTGCCAGTTCGGTACTTGTCGACAAGAAGACAACTACTCAGTATGTTTCGACGAGCCCACTTGAAAGAGCTGCGCACAATGTTCTCCTTCACCGCCACTGCTCGATGTGGCCAACCTGACATCCATTACCTAACGACGAGAAGCTACTCAACGGAATATGCTCTTACCGCCCAATGCAGTGCAGAGGTCTGACAACCAGCCTCGCACACCGGCATCTTGCAGTTAGAGTGCGCGAAGATCCCAATCGAACACCGCACTAGTCCAGGAAGACACCGATACCCTCATCACTGCTGTAGCCAAAGTCACGGAATCCCAGGTACCTGAACTATTGATTTGTATAGGCTTTGTTACCCGTGTGTGCTGTCAAACTTTGAGATTATCCGACGGGTATCGAAACACTAACTGCTCCATCAACGCCATCGCAAACCCAAAACAATCCAACAAAATCATCGTCGTCCATTGCACTGTATCCGTCCTATACCTCGCCATCAATGACGACACCCAGTTTAGTGGTGTCGCACTGATTGGTATAGTCTCCGTCTCTTTCTTTCTACTCAATGTCCTTGCTCCCTTCCACGGGCCAAGGACCTAGAGCCTTGTAGAATCTATCGGCGCGCATACTTGCTGCTCCCCATGCCACTAGAAACAAAGTCTGATGTCTCTGCCTTCTTCGCTGACCCGGTATTCTGCCAGCAGTGCTCGATCACGGGGGCGCGTCTGGAAGGTGTGGTGACGGGAGTCTTCGGTCCTGGTGTGCTCGAGCCGGGGACATCATCGAAGCTGGGGGCGCCCCTTTTGCAGACCTAGAACGCATGTATGTTAGCAATGCACTGAATAGATATTGTTTAGGATAATGTTACCTTGACATGAGAGCCGTGGAACCATTGCCCGTGTGCTTTGTCGAATTCACGCTCGCAGTGCCAGCACGTAATCGACTCTGCCTTCGGCTTTGTCTGCTTCGGCTGCTGGTACCCAGTCAAACCGAGCTTACCCAGAAGGCTTTTCTTCTTCTCGGGGGTCCATTTCGCGAAGTCATCGCACCCGTCGAGATGGTCGCGGCAGGCATCCTGGCTATCCGTCACCAAGAAACGATACTTGCAGGCACATGTATCTTTCGGGGGCTTCTCTGGGGTCGCCTTCGCTGGGGCGGGCGCGATTGTAGGCGCCTTGGTGGGTTGGACCACCTGCTCCTCAAGCCGGTCAAAAGTGTCATCAATGGCCTTAGCCAGCTCTTTGACGTCGGGATGAGCCTCCACAAGTGCAGGAACAAACTTCTTCAAGAACTCCCACTGGTGATCGAACGTTCCTTCCAGCTCATACCGTCCACGACGTATCTTCATCGCAGTCTCAAGGTCACCCAGGTGCTCCGCAGGCCTGACTATCAATTAATTAGTAGGGGTATTTTGGTAAAGAATATTCTGAGCTTACATTCAGAGTCGCGTCGCATTCTGGCCCTTATCTCTGGAAGGCGATCGTTCAAAGGCTTGCCCAACCTCTTCAGGACGGATGGCAGGCACATGTTGACGTTTTCGATGATGCCGTAGACTGCATTCCACTCATTTGTCATGGAAAGGATTGTCTCTTGCTGTGAATCGACAAGGACTTTCAGACCATCGGTTGAGGATGGTTGCTTGTTGAGCTTGGCCATGTCGAGGTCTTTACGCAGTGCTTCAAGCTCCTCATCTTTGCGGGCTATGACAGCGGTGTGTTGGGTGTGGAGTGAGCCAATCTCTGATTCCTTGCCAGAGATGGCAGTGGCGTGCTCGGTGTGGATTGAGCCAATCTCTGATTCCTTGCCAGAGATGGCGATGGCGTAGTCGTCGTGGGCTTTCTTGAGCTCTGCATCCTTGCGAGCGATAGTAGCGGCGTGCTCGGTGTGAAGTGAGCCAATCTCTGATTCCTTGCCAGAGATGGCAGCGACGTGTTTGGTGTTGAGTGTGCCAATCTCTGATTCCTTGCCAGAGATGGCGATGGCGAGTTCGTAGTGTGCTTCCTGCAGCTCTGCGTTCTTGAGATTGATCGCGGTAGCAAGTTCGGCCTGTGAAATTTCCAGCTTCTCAGCTTCATCGGCCTTTTGGTCCCTAGCCAGATCGAGCTCTTTGCGCAGCTCCTGTATTTGGCTTTCATGGCGAGATACGATGTCGTCAAACTCCTTCTCCTTGTCGGCCACGTCAGCGATGTGCTTGGTGCGAGAATCTTCCAGCTCCTGGGCTTTGGCGTTCTTTTGCCGAGTGACCAAATCGAGCTGTTGACGAAGCTCACGCATTGCGTCATCATGGCTAGATACAAGAGCGTCAAGCTCTTTGACTTTGTTGTCCTTTTGAAGCTTAACCGAATCGACCTCTTCACGAAGCTTTTGCGTTTCGATTCCATGGCGAGTGATGATCGCAGCTTCAGACTGGTGTTTGGCTTCGAGCTGCCTATCTTTAGCGGTGATGGCGACAGCATGTTCGGCGCGTAATCTTTCGAGCTCCGCATCTTTGGCGTTGATTGTAGCAGCGAGATCGTTGCGCAAGCCTTCATCCTTCTTCTCTTTGGTTGAGAGAGCGACTTGATACTTCCTACGATGCTCCTGCATCTCCTTGCTCTTACGAGAAATAGCGTCCCTGTTTAGCTGTTTGAGTTCTCTCAGGTCCTTCTCCTTGTTGGAGACGACATCTGCGTGTTGCTCTTTGAGAGCCGAGATTTCATCTTTGAGCTGGCGAGCGAACTCGTGGGCAGCGTCCAGATCGTGAGTCTTCTTCTCGAGACCATCTTCACCGTTCAACTGCTCTTTGGCTGTATTCAACTTCGTCTGAAGTTGATGGCGCTCAGTCTCAAGGTCTGCACGCTCGCGTTCCAGACCACTCATCTGACCTTTGACATCCTGAAGCTCTTCCTCGATAGCGTCGGCTCGCTCGTTCGCCTCTTGTGTGGACTGACGCATAAGCTGGATCTGGTCCTCGAGTCTCGCCACTCTTCCGGAACTGGTGGTGTGGTTGACATCAGCCCGTCGCAGCTCAATCTTACATCGGCGTAGTGACTCCTCGATTTTCAACTTGTTGGCGGTCACCTTTTGCAGTAGCACCTTCGATCGTTGACAGTCATCGGTCAAGTCAGCTGCGTTGGTTAAAGCCGTGTCGAGTTCCGCATCCTTGTGGCGAAGCTCTTCAAACATGTTGTTGTTCTCGTCCTCAAGTGCACCGATCCGGGTGTCCTTCTTTCTACTGGCTCGTCTAACAGAAGAATGAACATGTTTCAGCTTGTCGATGTTGTTGGCGTGATGTGTGATGTGTGTGGAGGGTGCGGCGAGGTCAGTGAAGAGAGATGTGATCACGTTATCCAGTGCAGTAACCGATGGCGAGAGCTTGTTGTTCTTGAACGCGAGCTGGACCTGTTCTAGTTGTTCTTGATCCAGGCGGTTCTCGACCTTGCGTAGGCGTCGACTAAACGAGTTCCGGGTGATGACATGGAGATGCTTTCGCGGCATGTTGGAGGCT